CCCCCCACCTCATCACCCCCACCCCCCAGCACACAGCCCCTCTGCTCCAGCAGAGGAGGATAAAGACGAGGAAGGCTGCGGGTCCAGACGGCATCAGCTCCAGGCTCCTGAAGTCCTGCGCAGACCAACTGTGCGGGATAGTTGAAACCATTTTCAACCTGAGCCTGAGGCTGGGGAGAGTACCACAGCTGTGGAAGACATCCTGCGTGGTACCTGTGCCCAAGACTCCACACCCCAAGGACTTCAGGAGCTTCAGACCGGTGGCATTAACATCACATCTCATGAAGACTCTGGAGCGCCTGGTCCTGTCTCGTCTCTGCCCCGTAGTAGGCCCTTCAATGGACCTGCTGCAGTTTGCCTACCAGCCTGGCACTGGGGTGAACGACACCATCATCTTCCTCCTGAATAGAGCTCCGTCTCACCTGGAGAAGCCCAGAAGCTGTGTGAGAATCATGTTCTTTGATTTCTCCAGCGCTTTCAACACCATATAGCCTGCACTTCTGAGGGACAAACTGGAGCACTTAGGGGTGGCTAATCACCTCACATCCTGGATCCTGGACTACCTCACGGACCGGCCGCAGTATGTCAGGACCCAGGATTGTGTATCGGACTTGGTTGTCTGCAGTACGGGGGCCCTGCAGGGGACGGTGCTGGCACCATTCGTCTTCACCCTCTACACACTGCAGACTTTTCATACGACACCCCCACCTGTCATCTCCAGAAGTTCTCTGACGACTCTGCCATAGTCGGCCTCATCACAGATGGGGACGACAGGGAGTACAGAGAACTGAACCAGGACTTTGTGGACTGGTGCCTGAGGATCCACCTTCAGATCAACGTGGTTAAAACCAAAGAGCTGTTGGTGGATTTCCGTAGGTGCAGACTCCTCCCCCCAACACCGGTGAACATCCAGGGAGAGGACATTGAGATGGTGACATCTTATAAGTACCCGGGTGTTCATCTTAACAATAAACTGGACTGGACTGATCACATAACAGCACTGTACAGGAAAGGCCAAAGCAGACTTTACCTCAGGTCTTTTGGAGTGCAGGGTGCGTTCCTGAAGACCTTCTTTGACACTGTGGTGGCATCAGCCATCTTTTACAGAGTGGTCTGCTGGGGCAGCAGCGTCTCGGCTGCAGATAGGAAGAGACTGTACAAGCTGATCAAGAAGGCCAGCTCTGTCCTGGGATGCTCTCTGGACTCTGTGCAGGTGGTGGGAGAAAGGAGACTGCCATCCCCTGCAGGAGTAGATAAAAGCTCTGGAGAGCTCCTTCAGCGATAGACTGATTCACCCAAAGTGTGTGAAGGAACGCTATCGCAGGTCCTTCACTGCACGTGCGCATTTCGTGCATCAAGTATACTTTCGCCTTAAGCTGACACCATTTCCCTCAGTGGAAACGAAGCTTGTATTAACTTGTAGGCTATTTCACAGATAAGAAACAATAAATTGTGAAGACAGTAAAGCCTCCATTAAAATAGCATTTTAAGTCGTGTGTGTGATTTATCCTTCAGGGATTTATACCTCGGGATTTATCCTGGCTTCATATGAGCAGAGGAAATCTCCGCTCATCGCAAGGCTAATGTATAACGTTACCATGTAAAATGCCATAGGCTGGCGCTAATAACGTTAGCATGTTGTATTTGCTTGGAAAACGTGTTTAGTATAAGACAGCTGTTTTGTGGGTGAATGTTGTGAGTTGTGATGGAGCCACATTGAGTGCTGTAACCTTTGTTAAATGCTGCTGTTGTCCCTGGTTTTATATGAGAGGAGGAAAAGACCGCTAGACGCTAGGCTAATTTATACAATGTAAAACGCCATAGACTTGTGCTAATAACGTTAGCATGTTGTATTGGTGAGGGAAATGTGTCCAGATAAAGACAAGTATTTGTCTGTCAGTTCTGCGATTTATAGTGAAGCCAATTTGCGTACTTGTGTTTGAAATTGTCTCTATAGAGTGTGCCAAGGCTGACGTCAAAACCCGGAAGTTTAGCATCGCGCTGGTTCCCGGAAGAGAAAGTGAATGTGATTTTTGCATTGCGTTTTGGATTATGNTGAGACACATGATTCTTAATGACAAACAAAATTCACTAACCGTCATTAAAATTTTTTGCATGTTTATGTGCAAGCATGAATATATTTTGTACAACCCATGAACTCACCACTCCTAGAATTCCCTCTAAAGTCACTTCGATAGATACGTTCAGTGTATCGGAAAAACTTTTTACAGGTTTTATTAGTTTTTTAGAAAATAAGTCCTTTTCAAGTGCATCAAACAAGGCTGCTGGAGTTGGGCTGGTGCAGTTCAAAGCTGCAACAAAACCTGAGTTAAGAAACAGAAACAAAAAAAGAATCTAAATTAATGAGAAAGCCCAAATTGATGTACGTATTTGCAGTTCTTTGAATGCTGTACAGAATAAAGTAAGACCTCATAAACCGTTCAACAAAATGTTTCATAACAACTACATGGTTCATACATTAATCCACTTCAAATTCAAGGCAACTATCATAATTTTAAACACTACTATGTCGTTTCCCTCTTGCTTACTGAATATAGAGTGAGCAAAGACACAAACATGTACTCAGATTTGTTTGTTTTTCAACTTTGCTTGTAATTTCTTACAGCAAATCTTAAAAGTTAAAGTTTCTTAAAGGATTACCAATGAAATTTGTTTCCAACAGCTTTTAACAGATCATCTTCCACTAATCTTTTCTTGTATTGTAAATTTATCATTATAGATAGTCAAAATTCTTTCTTTCTTACCGTGAAGCAGTGAAAAGCAGATGGAGATGAGCCCAATTGTCTTCACCTCTGTCATCTTGTCTGTGTCAGCTCAAGCATTTACCCTTCTCCACCAATTCCAAAGCAAAATGCCAAGAGTCAGATGAAGTGGTGTACCTTGTTTTTGAGTGGCCCAACTTAACTCACAACTAGATTATTTGCATGCATGTCCTGTTTGTCAAAATAACAGTGCTGCCACATCAAAGAAAAGGGATTAAACAATGAGTTTGTTCTTGCAAGAAAAAGTTAATGTATGCTGCCCCAAACAAAGCAGCAATGAATGAAATTCCCTACAGTGTATATCTATGCAATCTAATCAGCTGTTTATAAACTTCTGCTCTGCACTCATTTAGATAAACCTTTATTTAATCAGGCAAATACTGTTGAGATAGAGATCTCATTTTCAATGGAGACCTGAGAATATAAATAACAACATAAAACAACCAATTTAAAAAGTACAATATAGCACCAGTCGTCTGCTGAAGAATTTGTTATTCATCAGTTCTGGAGATCTCTGCCCGCAGACAAGTTAGAGTCAACTGAAGAGGGTAAGGGTGGTTCCTTTACATTTTAACTGTGTCTTGGTTTGCAGCATACAATAAGCGTAACATTTTCGACCACCTGACACAAACTCTACAATGTGGTCATCGCCTCCTCTGTCCCCATTAATCTCGTCTGTAAGCTCCCCTAAAAAGGAACTTGTCTCTGGAACCCAGTCTCCTGCCTTTGAGATGAAAACCACACTGTCTGTCCGAATACATACACCTCTCCCCTAACTTGTCCATCAGGTCATACAGCATAAGTCGTACGTATGCTGTAGTCATTGTGCCAATAAAGATGTTGATGTTACTAGTTTTAGCCGTCACTGAGCAAGAGCCACGTCATTAGATACAAACGAAAATTGTCTAACGTCATAGAGGTTGCTAAACATGTAGCAGACAAATTGTTCAGGATCAGCCACAAGCTTGCATGTGGGTAGAAGGAGTTGAGTTTCCTCAGCAGATGGATCCTTTGGTTTGCTTGCTTTACAATGCTGTCAGTGTTTTCACTGAATTTTAGTTGTGAGTCAAACACAGTGCCCAAGTATTTGTACGTTTGTACTATTTGTACCTCTTCACCATGGATAGTGCTTGGTTTGGGGTCGACACTGGATTTCCTGAAATCTATGATCATTTCTTTGGTTTTTGACACATTTAGGTCGAGGAAGCTATCATCACACCAACTGACAAATTCAGGGAGGGCACAACCGTGATTTGATTGGTGGCCCTGAAGAAGAGACAGTAAGACTGTGTCATCTGAAAACTTGACAAGACAGCTGTTTTCTTGAGAGGATCTGCAGCTGTCTGTGTAAAGAATAAAAAGCAGGGGAGAATGGACACAGCCCTGGGGAGAGCCTGTGTTTGACTGTATAACGGAGGACATGCGTCCATACACAAAGACCTGCTGCAGTCTGTTTGTTAAAAAGTTTAAAATCATCAATAAAAGTTTGTCCAGTTTGTCTAAAGTTAATGAGATAATTTTTTCCATGCAGTAGGTATTTGACCACCATTTGCACACATTTGAAAAAGGGTTACAGCGTGGACTGGTAGCTGGAGAGGTGCCAGTTCACCTCCTGGGCACTGCCGAGGTGCCCCTGAGCAAGGCACCGAACCCCCCAAGCGCTTGGAGCGCCCGTCATGGGCAGCCCACTCTGACATCTCTCCACTTAGTGCATGTATAGGTCCTGTTTGTGCATGTGTGTGTTCGGACCTGTGTGTAATTGACAAACAGAGTGAAAATTGAATTTCCCCTTGGGGATTAATAAAGTATATAAAATTAAATTACATTTTAAAATAAATAAATAAATAAAACACTATCAGCAACAAAATGCTTCTTAAAATGGCATTATAGACAGCACCTATGGGAAACCCTTACCTAACCTAAGAATACAGGCTGAATAAAGCCTGAATTTAGAAAGAAAAGATATCAGACAAAAGGAAAAAAAACTGTTGGATACTCATCAGATACAAGAGCCATTTTCTTCAGAAAAAAACCATCAACACTTCCATTTGCTGTATTCAGGATGCCCTCCCAATTCTTAAGCATTGTCAGTGTTAGTAGCTGTGAACTAGCAGTCAAAGTATCACTCTGTCTCTGGGCATTTTGTATGAGTAATAATAATAGCAGGGTCCCAAACCAGGACTGATAGTGCCAGTACTGCAGCCAAATAATTCACATCCGAACACACTGATTTGATAAACATAGATTTATCAAGGGTAGATTCAGATTAACGTTAGGAGAATATTATCATCTCCAGAACTCACTCAAGAACTATTAAGAAAATAATAATAATAAAGTATATAAAATAAAATAAAGATTAAATTAAAAA